CCCACCAAGGAGCAATTTGAGGCCTAGGAATTAGAGTGGAAGGAGAGACTGCTAGGTTTGAATGCTTCCCTGGAAAACATATTTACTTGGAACCTCTGCCCCCTCCACTAAATGAAAATGGCAAGCCCTTAAAACAATGGGGCCTCTACCTGCCCTTCTGTTTTTGTTTCCAGTCCAACACTGTCATCAGTGCAACTGCTCTACAGCCTTCTACGTAGAATGGTAGAATCATATTATTCGTGATGGTACCATTACCCTTTGTTTGGAAGGGTTTTCTTCATAATTCTTTTTTTTTTTTTTTTTTTTTTTAAGCTTACCTAGGAAGACCTTAAAAAGGAAGTTTAATTCTTTGAAGACCAAAGCTTGCCAATTTTTTCCATGAGACCAGTTCACAGCTAGCTCTGTACTGCCAGTGGGGTAGCCCAAATTCCAAAACCCATCATCTGGAAACATACAAAAGCTCTTGCAGATCCCCCCACCCCCTTCTCAAAAGGGGGAGGGAACCCCACAATCTAAATTGTAAATCTATTATGTCTATCTAGATCTAATAAGATGTGGGGAGATAAAAAAGAAACACAGGTATGATAAAGATATTTTTGTAAATAAAGATGAAAACATATATATCCATTTTGAATTTAAGGAATATTCAGCTATTAATGGATATCAAAGGAAAAGGGAATTTTAATCATCTCTCCATTCAGTCTCAGTTGGGTAAATCATATCTAAGAGATTTGCATAAATATAAACCATCAAAGACTTTTCATCTTCAAAGGGGGTTTCAAGACCCTATAAGCTTTGTACTGTAATCATCACAGGTCACCACCCTGCAGGAATAATGCTGCTATGGCAACATAAAAAACTAATGCTTAAGGCTTAGCATAATATTCTGGCTAATAGAAAGGAAACTCATTTTAAAAGCTGGCAGCCTATTTACCAGAAGCAGGATTAGAGGTGTTATTTCCCCTTTTCGATACCCCCTCCTTGCCTGTGCATCCCCCCCTAAAAAAAACCTAATCACTGGGATCTTTAAAAAGCTTTTGAGCAATTTGCAGTAACTTTACAATTAGGCTAAAATAAATCACAGCTTTCATTAATGAAGAATTATTCCCGTTGCTCTGTGCCCCTCCCTCTTAGACAGCGTCTCCATCACCTCTTTAGTAACTTTCAAGGGAAGAAATAACTCAACCAAAGCAGCCGGTGCGAAGAGAAGTCTGCAAGGGTGGGGGACACACTGTATGGTATTTCATGCAAGGGCAAATAAAACATAGTTTATGTCACAATGAAACTTGAAAATGGGTAGTGAAATATTAGTGGCTTGGGTGTTGAATGCGTTCAATTTTCTTTTCTCATTTAAAAAAAAAAAAAAAAAAAAAAAGAAAGAAACTTCCAAGGTTACTTATACCGTTCTCTGTGAAAGTCATTATAACTACAAAACCTGTAAAGTTTACAACTAGGTAAACTCTTTACAAGATGTCCCCTGTTCTTAGCAAAATCTGGAACGCCTTTTGTTTTATAGCCAATAGGAGCATTTAAAAATTAAATATGCTAGATCCCCCCCACACCCGTCCCCTTCTTTCTTAAAAAATTGCATTAAGTACTAACACAAAAGGTAACTAGTGGAGAAGTTTCAATTAATTTTTTTCAAAAGGAGACGATTAAATGTTTCCGGCCTGGTAAAGTGTTCATTTCAGTGAGGTGGAGGGGACTAGGGAAGGGGGGGCAGTGAGGAAAAGAAGGGGGGAAAATTACAAAGAGATTGGGGAGGAGATGAAGTAGCAGGGCTCAGCAATTCTTTCAATTCCAGTGCACACCCAATAGTGTGTTGGAAGAATGCACACTGTTCGGGATTTGTGGGAGAATTGTCCCATGACAAAAGAGGCAGAGTTACGCTTGTTATAGTCCAATAAGCCGTGCCAGTCAAACAAGAACCCACACTAGCCACAAAAGGGGAGCAAGAGATTCTCACACAAAAGAAAACAAGTAAGCCCATCTTTCAGTTGTGCATCAGGCTCTGGGTTTTACGCTTCACATAAATACAAACGGAGAGAAAAAAATAAACAGCACCAAAGACTTCGGTTAACCAGAAGTCCTGTTTCAATATCAGAATGTTCCCCACATCTATGGATTTGAAAGGGCAAACAGAGGCTGTAGCTCAGAGCTGGGGAGACTCCCTTCTCCTCTTAATGAATGGTAATACTGATGATAAGAGGCATTAACCGTGAAACCAGAGGCAGGGTGACTTCAGAGACCATCAACCTTAGACTTATCGGAACAGGGTCAGAGCCCTTAGGATATTAACATGCTCTAACCAATATCTAACCAGCATCTAAGACTAACCTTGGTGAGATCTCCAGTTTACTAGGTAAATACAGGTCCCTGATGACAGGACTTTACAAAGAACCCAACATAGAGCTGTCATCAGAAATACCATGACATCTACATGTATAATAATTTTCAATCTTCTAGGAGCTATATTCAAAGAGTAAAATGGAACAGATGGGTTGAATTTTCATATTTTATATTCAATCCAACATATTCCAAATATTATCTACATTGTAATATGTAATCAATATAAAAATTGAGGTATTTTCCTTTTCTTTTCTACCTGGGAGGAGTATCAAGTCTCTAAAATTAGGTATGTATTTTACAACTTACAAGCACACCTCAATTTGCACTGTCCACATCGCAAGTGCTCAGTAGCCACACATGGCAGGTGACCCCATCAAACAATAGAGATCCAGCGTATTCAGACTTATTAAAACGGTGAAGTTTTCCCAGGTAAAACAGCTTATTCAATGTGTCTCTGTGGTTGGATCCACAGCCTTCAAAATAATATTGGATGTGGCTTTGAACCCTTTCTGCCCATTCATTCTCACCACAAATGTGTTACATCCCAAGGGTTCTTCCCCAAGTGGTACAATGAAATGCTATGTTATTCAAGAGACTTGCAAAATAATATCAACTCCCTCCTATTCAAATCTAGCCACTCACACCGCCCCATACACACCATTTACAATTAAAACAATCATGTATAATTAGGCCCATTTCAAAGTTTTCTTAAGTAATTTGACATGCCAACCACTTTACATTTCAGGTTTTTATTGGTTGAAAAGTCTATCATGAAATGCAAACACACCTGTCAGCAATTTAAAAGAGGCTGCACTAGAGAACTGTTTGGGGGAAATAATACCTGTGTTAATTAAAACCACTAGTTAAATGCTTCCTGTTTCTTCCTCTAGTTGCCCTAAGGAGTGACCTTTTTCTCCCCTTCATTGGGCTCATTTTTTCATAAGCAGCTAGTGTTCCTCACTGTCTGTGATGGCTTCAAATGTGCCTTTAGTAAGAACCATCCCCATCATGGCTATTCCAGGTAGAGACTAGGGCTTCTGGTCTACAGGATAGAAGCAGGCGTGAAATGCCCAGACAAGTTAGCGTCCAGGGACTCTGTGAGGGCTGCCGAGGAGGCTGCTCCAACCACATCACAAATCCAGTTAGGAAGCAGAAACAGAGCTTCTAAAAGGAGAACTTTTCTGAGGAGCACTTTTAGGCAAAGCCAGATTCCTAGGGAAGGGAAATGGTTGCTTGCACCAATCCTTTTCATAAGCCTGTCTTGTCTCTGTTTCTCATGTAGCCCAGGCTGGCCTCAAACTTCCTACATAGTTGAGGATGACCTTAAACTTCAGATCATCCTGCCTCTACCTCCTGAATGCTGGGATTACAGGCTTGTGTCACTACATCTAGCTTATGTGGTGCTGGGACCTTGTGCATGCTAGGCAAGTACTCTACAAACTGAGCCACACTCCAGGATCTACCCAATACATGTCAGGTAAGTGATCTACCCCTGAGCTAGCTATCTCCCTAGCCGTGTGCATTTCTAAACCAATGGCACCCAATCCTTTCTCAGTGATTCCTTAATCCATCCTGAGTCTTACAGCAAAGCATTATTACTCACCCACTGGATTTCTTCAGGACCTTCCACCTTTGGTAGCATCAGGCTAGAGGGAAGGACTCTAGACTGCAGAATTGTCTCTAAGTCAGCTTCAGCCAGACCACTGGACACTGAATTGATTCTCACACACTTTTCCGTTGGACCAAGGTCAAAGTCTTCAAGAGTTTTTACTATTCTCAAACGAGCTTCATTCTGTAAATGTTGATGAAATGTATATCCTAAATTTATTCTTACCATCAAGAAGAACCCAATGGACAGTCTACAGAACTGTCATGGACACTCAGAGTCTGAATGCTGTGATTACATTGACACATTTTCTGTTCGTCAAATAAATTATATTTGAAATAAGTCATCCAATCTGATAGGGGAGGGACTGATTTCTAGACTTCATTCACAGTGGCTGTAACACAGCGGGGATGTACCACCATGCACACTGCTGCACTTCTAAACAGCAACATCCTTTTGCTCACTAGCATGCCTTCCAATCGAGGAGATAAAATTATTAATAGGCAATTGTTCGTTGATTGGGCATTAACTACAGGCTAAACATGGTTCTAAGTCTTTTATCTATATTTCTTCATTTAAAAAGTATCAGAAATAAGATAACATCTGGATTGTGGGAATTGCATCTGTCAGCATATTCGCATCAGGGGAAAAGGAAGCATTTGTTTTTCTGTTCCCTGGGTATCACACTATTTTAAAATTCATCTCTTTATTTTATGTTGTTTTTGACATTCAATTAAGGAGGTGCTCACAGGAAGCTGACACTCAGTTCTGCAAGAGATGTCCCACTTACTCAGGTGGAAGGCAGTAATGTCACCAAGAAACTCCTTTATGAAGTGCATGACAAATAGATTGTTTTCTTTGATTTGACAGTCTTTGCTGTAACTATGAAAAGCCGAAAGGTTGGAAGTCGGCTTCTGTGTTTGAATTATCCAAATATGTTATGTATTGGCTTTGAGTTGGAGGTGATGAAGGTGGGGTGGGTGGGTGAGAAAGGAGTTCACAGACGGGAGGGGACTGGTGTCAAGAGAAAGGAAGCCCTTGGAGTCATTACTTCCTGCAAATTTCAGTTTTGAAAATAAATTCCTCTAACTTGACAACAGCCCTCAACAAATTCTCATTGTCAGAATGAGCACCTATAAAAAGTAGTTTCATTTGGGAAGGATTTTTTACTATGCCAATAAAACTTTAAAGCTTCTCACTTCTGATGAATGTATCTTTAAGAGAAAATGTCTTAACAATATATAGCCTTTTGAATGGTAATACACATCTAGGAAAGCAGTAATTCAAAGCTGAGTTAAAGAGATAAGAATGAATTATTTGAGTTAACACGGAGTCTAAATTTAAGTGCAGTCAAAGAGATGACCCAAGACAGTAGATTTAAACCAGATGGAGGTAGGCCTGCATCTGGGTGGAAATGTTCCAACTGGGGTCTGAACTAAACAGTCTGGCTTAGGGTTGTCAGATCACGTGGAAATAGTGCCTAGACCTAGTTTAGGGCAGCTCTGTGCAGATGTGATTTATAGAGCATTGGCTGTGAATAATTAGGCCAAGTTTAGGCAAAAGGAAGAGAAAGCTCATGGGATGATGCAGCCAACGGTGGTCTGGTTCAACATGATGCTGTGGGTTACTTCACGGTGCTGATCCCACTCAGGCACTGTGTACTGTTGCTACAGTAGCTAAATAGAAACACTGATGGAGAAGTGCATGTATTAGCTCAACAGCAGGACTTGAAAGTCATCTAGAGTGGATGGAATTCCTCCTGCCTTTAGTGGTACCCAGCTTCAGATTCATGGCCTCGGAGAACCTAAGAAACGTGTCTTGCTGCATGCAGCCTGGGACAGCTACAAACTCCAGATTGCTCAGGTTTGTAAACATTCCAACTTCCAGGTTCTCTCTTTAGCAAGTCAGCCTTGCATAAGGGGTCTGTCAAAACAGGGTGGATGGGAAGTTAAAAGGACCGCCTCTAGATCATTAAAATGTGCTTTAAAGCTCAAATTATTGTTGGAGTCAAGCTGAGTGTGGTGGTCACTCAGGAGGCTGAGGGAGGAGATCTCAAGTTCTAGGCCAGCCTGGGGTACACTGCAAGGCCCTGTCTTTTAAAAATTTTTTAAAACATTTTTAATTTTATAATTGTGTGTGTATATGGGTGTAGGTGCCCATAGAGGCCAGAAGAGGGTGTCACATCCCCTGGAGCTGGAGCTACAGGCAGTTGTGAGTCAGTGGATGTGGGCACTGGGAACCAAACTCTGGTCCTCTGAAAGAGCAGGAAGTGTTCTTAACCACTGAGCCAGCTCTCCAGCCCCCAAAGACCCTATTTCTAAAGAGGAGGAGGAGGAGGAGTTAGAGGAGGAGGAAGAGGAGAAGTTGGAGGAGGAGTTGGAGGAGAAGGGGGGGAGGAGGGGAGAAAGGAAGG